TAAACAAACACACTCTAAATTATTAATAAACAGTACACAGTAAAAATAAACGCCAAATGCTAATATAATTACATTTTAATTTCCTCTGAAGTTAAAATCAATCGAACGCTAGAGACTCTAGCATTCACAAATCACAGGCATTTATTATCAAAACCACATTACTAAAACTAACTACATTTTACAAACAAATCTAAAATCAAATACGCAGATACAATCGAACAAATTGAATTTTCAAACCTAATTAAGCATTTGAGTAGTGAGCGAATCAAAAAACAACCGGATCGCCTAATTAACACATAAATATCACAGATCCGTTCAAATTAGACCAAAATGAAAAATCATAAATCTCTACAAAACAGATTCCAATGACGAAAGCAAGCCGATCTAAAGGTTCACATACAACGGACAGATTTAGTAAGAGAAAGCGGAGAAACGATGAGTCGAAAATGATTTACCATCAAAGCGTTCTTCGAAGAATACTTTAGCAGAGGCAATAGCGAGGAGAGATACAAAGATCGCAGAAACCAGAAGAGGGTTTCGTTTGTGAATAGCCATAGTGAAGCTGCAGAGTGAGGGAGGCAGAATGACGGGCTTCCCCTTATATAGTAGTCGTTGAGCCCACTGGTGCGGTACGGACTACGGTCCAGTGAGAAAATGACGTGGATTATACCAGCCAATGGATAAATCACACGTCATTTATAGATTGACGTGGCTAGGAACTATTGGGAAGGATTTTGACGTGACACGTAGGAGGAGTTTTAAGGGGTTTACATTCAGGGGGTGTTTGGATTGGGGAATGTGGGATTCCCATGGGAATGGAATCCACATTCCCCCGTTTGGTTAGCCTGGGAATCCTATTCCCGGTAATGTAAGATTACCAATAGTGGATTTTTTGGGGTATATTACCGGGAATGTCATTACCTCCCTTTTCTTAGGTATTGTTGGATTACCGGCGTTTTGGACTAAAATGCCCTTAAATTTTTATTTTTTTTCAAAAATATATTTATTCTGTCATCGAATAATAAAAATTTTACGAATGTTAAATTACAAATTTATCCTTAAATTATTTTAGATTTACAAAAAAAAATCTATAATTAAAATTTTATATAAAGTTCAAGGGTTTAAATAAAATTTTACCCTTTCATTAAACTTTTTTTTATTTTTAATTTTGTAAAAAATATATAAATATTATGAATTTAATTTTTTTAAAGAAAATATATAAATATTTTCCAACTTGTAATATTACACAAATATATAATTAGGACAATTTGGTCAAATATACATTCCAATAATCTTTTATTCCTTTAACCAAACACGGTAATCTTACATTCCTGCTAAGCCAACCAAACACAAAATACAACATTCCCAGTAATGCTATTCCTTGGTAATCTTACATTCCCACTGGTAATCTTATATTCCGTGAACCAAACGCACCCTCAGGAGTTTCAGTTATCGGGACTGTGTTAAACGTGGCAATTATTTAGTGGTAGATGTCAGGGGGTCCACCTACGAGTTAATGGTGGGATATTTTACCTAAATATCATCTAAAAAAAATAATGCCGACGGTAATATTTCTTTTTAGATTATTTTTTAGATTGAAACTCTTTTTTTTATTATGTAAGATAAAAATATGTTATATAGAAATATTTTTTTGTAAAAAATCTTTTTTATTTATGTGACAAACATTGATTAATTTTTAAAAAAAGTTTGACTGAAATGAAAGAAAATAAGATGTTTTTTTATTACTGTGACATACATAGGTCAATACTTATAAAAATTGGATTAAAAAAAGAAAAGAAAAATAAAAAAAATACAAATCTTATTAAAAAAATAATAAATGTAGGATATAAGGATGGACCTAGAGAGGGGCGGGTGAGGGCGATCTCCCTCTCTAGAAGTTTTAAATTCCTATGTATTTTAAATATTTTTTTTGTATTTTCTATTAAAAATATATTTTCATCCCCTAAAATTTTATAAATTCTACTCTACTTAAAATTTTATAAATTCGCCTGTATTTACTCAAACACGAACCTAACAATGGCAGCTACGCATGTATATTAGCCTTATCTTTAGTTATATTCCAAAAATGTATGTTTAAAGGACTACATTCAACACTTAAAATCCTAGGGATGGGCATGAGATCTGAACCCGACCCGTCCCGATTGGGTCGGATCTTAAAAAAAATTAGATTCGGGTCGGGTCGGGTTTTTTTAAATGTGATGTTCGGGTTTGGTCGTGGTCGGGTTTATGGTGAAAAAACCCGACTTGATCCAAAAAATATATAATTTTACCTTATATATTTAGGAATAATTACAATAATACCCCTATATATATTATTTTTTTCAATTAAGTTATGTTTTTATTGAATAAAAATAATTTTTTTTATTATTTTGGGTCGGGTCGAATCAGGTCGAATTTATAAGTTATATATCGGGTTGGATTCGAATCAGATGAAATCTTGTTTTGATCGAATCGGATATCGAGTAGAAGATTCCTTACTCTCGAATCGGGTTGAATAGATCAAAAACCATACATATGCCCATCCCTATAAAATCCCTCCTATCTAAACTCTGTACTTTAAAACTCTTCTATTTAAACGATATGAAACTAGAAAAATTCATGAAAATTTAAAGTTTCACATTGTTAAAATAAAATGATTTTTAAATATTTTAACTATAAATATGTTTATATTAATAAAGCTTTAATATAATTATATTTTAATTATAATATATCATTAAAGAAAAATCATAGAGATAAATCCACCAAATAAGATAATTTTGGTAGGCCATTGACTCGAGATTCAATAATCTACAAAGCGGGCTAAAGCCGGCACCTTTTTTCCTTTTTAAATTTGTACTTTTATGCTTGGATTGTAAGCCACTCAAAATTCATTGCATAACGTGACATGGATAAATTATTATCATTTTGGGTAAACTATATAATTAATGACTGAACTTCTTTTTCATTCTTATTTTGGTCATTGTAGTTTAAAATTTTTAATTTAATGACTAAACTTTATACATTAAATTTTCTGTCACCAGGTTGTTTTCTCCAGCCACGTCGTTAATTATTAAATTAAAAACTTTTAAAATATAGTAATCAAAATAAGAGTGGAAAAAAGTTTAGTTATTAATTATGTAATTTACTTAACATTATGTGCCCAACTATTGCTGATAAATAAAAACAAAAGATTTCTTTGAAGCATAATATTAAAATTAGTCTCGATATTTATTAAAACGATGATTTTAGTTTTTATTATATACATTTTTAAGTATTTTGGATATAATATTTCATTTTAAGATAAAAGGATCCTTTCGTGGATGAAAATTATTAATTAACGATATATTAACACTCCAAAATAATGACATTTTTAGCCGAAAATAAAATGTCGGATGTCGAAATGCTCTAAAAAAAAGAATACGGGTCAAGGTAATTATTCAAGTTTATAGTGGATATATATTCACTTTAAAATTTGAATTTTCTTCGATTAGATACTTATATTATTAATTGTGTTCGAGGAAGTTTATTTACTGCTTACCATTTATACCACAAGTTTGATCTCTTTGAGGACTTGTATCCCGGTTTATCCAAAACTCATGTGAATTAGATGTATTTTGAAGATTATTAATTTTATCATAAGCGAAATTAGTAACAAATTAATTACGAGTCCTTAGAGTAATTTTAGATAATATTTGACGGATAAAAATAATATTTCAATTAAATTGTTAATGAAATTAATTAAATGTATTTATAAAATATATTAATTATGATTTTAAAGTTCAACTTTGAATACTAAAGAAATATTGAAAATTATCATAAAGGTTTACAAGTGTAACCGTAAACTAAACATATAATTAGGATATTTTCATATAATCATTGACATAAAAAATAGCCACCTAGATCACACAAGGATCAAACAAGAAAAAGATTAAATAACCTAACCAAAAAGCTCGAATAAAAAATAGACATGAACAAATCTGACCGCATCAGTAAATAAACCACAAAAGGGGATGAAGCTACTTAAAAGATCACTGACAAATCTAAAATTAAAGTCGAGCGACGTGAGAAAATATCCACAAACGCAAATCTCATATCCAAATCAATCCAATGATCCAATGTATGGAAAATCATCATGATAACAAATAAGTATCATCTTGATCAGTCGTGACAATATCAAACTCAACCCTGTGGAAAACGATAAATGAAAACAATGGTCAAACGACCGAAAACATACTAAAAGGTAAAGAAAAATATGTTACAAAAGCATAGTAAAATGTGTCCTAAAAACATAATTATTAAAAAAACAAAACAAAGGAAAAACAAAGATATAATGTTAAAAAAAGGATGAAAATTATTAGCGGCGGCAAACAACACTAAGGTTGGTGTCGCCGCCTACAATCAAAGAAGAAAATGGAGCAAGCAACTAAAAATTTTAGGGTTGAGAGAAAAAAATTCATTAATGGAGTTGAGATGTCAATGAGCTGTTGAATTATATATATAACATGGTTGGTTTAGAGATGGACTTAAGTGGGGTAGATAGGGACGGTTGTTCCCTGTAAAATTCAAATTTGTATATAGTTTAGATATTTTTTTATTGTTTATTAAAAATTTATTTCGTTTCCCTAAAATTTTATAAACTTATATTTCTTAAAAAAAAATTACAAGTTCGTCATCCCTAACATAAAATTCTATGTTGATTCACAGTTGGGGTTCACTTCAACCCTACATGCAGGGTATATTCACCCATATATCTACAAAACAGAGAAACATGGGATCAATGGAAAGTCTATCATGCTTCCAAGATTTGGAACATTATGAATAAACAATTATTTTGTACTTAATTTGACAATATATTTTTTAAATTCCTACGTCAACATCAAAACTTAACATTCCGAAGCTCCGGCCGGCCATTGCCCGATATGAACAAAGTAGGGATGACAAATCAAAACGAAGATGATTTTCTTTTTAAGAACTGAATTTTCTTTCACATGAATGCCATAAGTTTTTGCTTCCTCATTTCTCCCATGGCGATCATGCTCCGCTCCTTGTTGCTTTTTCTTTTGATCTCTCTTATTGTTTCTTTCGGTTTTGCTGAGACCCGTTTTACGGAGATCCGATCCGATTCCCGCCCCATTATCCCACTTGACGAGTTCAGGTTCACTGACTCCGGCGTCCTCGTGCTCAGCGTCTCGCAGGTCACTCTATCGAACAAGAATCCGGACCTCGACTTGGCCAAAGTCGGGTTCTTCCTCTCCACGCGTGACGCGTGGATACACGTGCTTCAACAACTCGCCGACGATGATATCTCGTGCGTTCTAGAATCCGGTCTCGTGAAGCTCATCTATGACTTCAAGTCTCTCAAATGGGAATCGAATATGTACACCGATTTTCGAATAAACAATGCCGATCGATACACGCTCGTCTTTGCAAATTGTCTTAATCAAGTCAGTGTATCAATGACCGTCCGATCGACAATGTTAAATCTCGAGGGAAAGAACAACAGTCCGGATTATCTCTCCGCCGACGAAACAATGCTCCCGAGCGTTTATTTCCTTTCGTCCCTCGTTTACTTCACCCTCGCCGGGATTTGGATTCACATCATTTGCAGAAGACGATTCACTGTTTCTCGAATCCATTTCTTCATGCTGGCCATGGTTATTTTAAAAGCCCTCAATCTCATTTCCCAAGCAGAGAATAAATCTCACATCAAACGAACAGGAATCGTCGATGATTGTTGGAATATTCCGTTTCAAATTATCAGTTTCCTGAAAGGGATCATGTTTTTCACCTTGCTCGTTTCGATCGGCACCGGTTGGTCGCTCCTAAAACCTTACTTGCAACACAAGGTAAACAGGGTTTTAATGATTGTGATTCCACTCCAGGTTGTTGCCAATATCGCCCAAGTTTTTTCCGATAAGGCTCCTCCTTTCAGCCCATATAAGGTCACATGGAACACGACGATCCTGTTCGTCGATATTGTTTCCTATTGCACCGTGTTTTTACATATTGTCCGGTGGATCAAGAACCTCCGCGAGGTGGCTCAGACGGATGAGAAAGCCGCAACTTACTTGATGAAGTTGACACAGTTAAGGCAGTATTACATCGTGGTCATCTGTTATGTTTACTTAACTTATGTAGCCGTCGTTGCTCTGTCCACAATTACTTCGTTCGAGTATCCATGGACTGATGCGGTGCTCGGGGAGTTGGCCACGGTCGCATTCTATGTGTTTACCGCTTATAAATTCATGCCGGAGGTGAATAACTCGTATTTCGCGATCGATGACGAAGAAAATGATGTTGGTGCAGACCTGTTGAAGGTTGAAGATAATGAGGAAACAAATGGGGAATGAATGCAAAAATGGATAACAAATCAAACTTGTGATATTGAGGCGAAACCCAGATACTTAAACATATCGTTGTTAAGAAAAATCTAAGATAAAGTAATATAATTAACTTCATATTAGGACTAGGATGGGCATGGACCAGAATCCAACGGGTTCCGACCGACTTGACCCGACCCGATCGGGTCGGGTTTTTTTTTATAAAAAAATCGGATTCGGGTCGGGTTCGGGTTTAGGGTGAAAAATACCCGACTTGACCCGAAAAATATATAATTTTACCTTATATATTTAGGAATAATTACAATAATACCCCTCTATATATTATTTTTTTCAATTAAGTCAATGTTTTTATTGAATAAAAATAATATTTTTATTATTATTTCGGGTCGGGTCGGATTTTTAAGTTATATATAGAGTCAGGTTCGGGTCAGGTGGAATCTTGTTTTGGTAGGGATCAGGTCGGATCTCGGGTGGAGGATTCCTTATTCTCGGGTCAAGTCGGGTGGACCAAAAACCCGACCCATGCCCATCCCTAATTAGGACCAATGAATTTATAAAATTTTAAATAAAGTTATAACCATCGACTTCTAATTTATTTATTGTTTAATTTTGATCAGATACTGCATAAACTCATTACATGAGTGACAATTCCAATCCAGTTTACTTCATTCACAATGTTAGAATTCAAACCATTAATCTTACATTACAACTATTATTATATATTTCGTTGAATATTTAATGACGAGTGTTGCATTTGTAATAATATTTTAATTGAATGATTATATTGTAACTATTAGAAAACTAATCTATTTATAATCGAAATATTAATTGAGTAACATTTCGTATATTTTACCTTAATAAAGATACTTGTCTTTGATTTATGATAATGTTCTAAAATTTATACATTTTATCAATTTGATCTTAGTTCCAAATAATTCACTAAATTTAATATTTCATATTTAAAAATTCTATTAATTTAGTCTTTGTTCTTCTAAATTGTTTGTCCTTCTTTTATCATTTCCAACTACTATTTTGATCCGATTGACTTTCTTAGTTTGACAATATTGTTAAAAAAAGACTAAATTGAATGAATTTTTAAATATAAAGGATTAAATTATTAAATTATTTAAAATTAGGATCAAATTGATTAAATCTATAAATTATAGAGACTAAAATTATTATTATATCAAATTATTATGCCTATATTTCCATTATACATCACAAATAGATAAATTTTAGAGCCTGCTAAGCAGAGAGTGAACCATTTAGCCAGATGTTTAAGTGTTTTTTTTTCTTGTTGTCCTTCCGGTTTTAAGATTTGGATCGATTCGTGTCGTACATTTGATTTTGATAATTAAGTCTTCTAATAGAGACTTTCTGCTTACATAATGACTCGAACTTAAGATGTTGTTTAAGTAATTTCAAGCTGCTTACCACTTGAACCAACTCTGTTGATAAAAAAATCAAAATTGGGAATAATTAATACTTATGTACTTAGTTTACTATATAAATCTAACGTTCGAAATCCGCTGCCGGCCGATATAAACAAAGTGAAGATGACAAATGAAAACGCAGATAATTCTCTTTTTAATCTCATATCAATGTCAAAAGTTTTTATTTTCCCAGATTTCTCCCACTGCGATGACGTGCCGATCCTCTTTGCTTTTCATTTCCATCTCTCTTGTTGTTTCTTCCGGTTTTGCTGAGACCCGTTTCACGAAGATCCGATCCGATGAACGCCCCGTAATCCCCACCGGCGAGTTCCGGTCCACTCACGAGAACCGTCGGGACTATCTGTCGGCCGGCGAAACAATTCTCCCCAGGGTTTACTTCCTTTCGTCCCTCGCTTATATCGCACTTGCATTGATTTGGATTTACGTCCTTTATAAAAGCAGACTTACTGTTTCTCGAATCCATTTCCTTGTCCTAATCTTGGCTATTTTAAAAGCTTTCAGTCTCGTTTTCGAAGCAGAGTATACGTCTTATATCAAACGAACCGGAGGCGCTCCCGGTAGGGATATTTTGTATCACAGTTCCGATTGTTTTAAAGGGATCCTACTTTCCGTGTTGGCCCTTTTGATCGGCACCAGCTGGTCGCAATTGAAACCTTACTTGGAAGACAAGGTTCCGATGATCGTGATTCCACTTCAGGCTGCTGTCAACGGTGCCCAATTGGTCGTCGATGAAACCTCACCTTTCGGTTCGTTTGGATTCACATGGAGGATAGTGATTGTGTTTGTTGATGCTATTTGTTATTGGACCGTGCTTTTGCCAATTGCTCGGTCGACCGAGAACTCGGACGAGGCGGCTCAGACGGATGGGAACGCTGCGGTGAATTCGACCAAGCGGAGAATGGTAATCCGGTGTTGCGTTGTGGTCGTCGGTTATATCTACTTAACTCGTGTTCTGGTTTCTGCTTTGGTGACGATTTCTTCGTATAAGCATCCTTGGACCACCGTGTTGGCCGTGGAGTTGTGCACAATAGCGTTTTTTGTGCTTACCTGCTATAGATTCATGCCGGAGGCGCGTGTCCGATATTCCGTGATCGTTGGTGAAGAAAAAGAGGCTGTTGCTGAGGTGCCGCTGCTTGAAGACGAGGGGAAATAGACAACGATTTAAGAAAAATGAATAGTAAATCATCTTAGATGGTGCTTCGACCCAAAAAATAATGTTTAAATTTACATATTTGTTGTATGCATTGTTTTATTTATGTGTTATGTTGTTAAATAGTATATTGTTCAGCACTGTTCATCTGGCTTTATGCCTTTACTACCTAAATAAACTAACCTCAATATATCCACTCCATCATTTAACTCTATAGTGGACAATGTACAGTGTTGTTATAATTATCAATATATCCCACTTCTACTGTGTTAGACGTTGTATCCATGTATGATGATCTTAATTGCAGGAACTTGGCACTGATGTGAACCTTTATACTTTGGTCTTTAAAGAATCCGTCTTAAATGATGCTGTAAGTTTTTGTTGCATGTTGGAGTTGGATTTGTATCTGCTCTAATTAGGCATGAGCATGAGTCGGGTTTTTGGTCCATCCGACTCGACTCGAGAACAAGGAATCCACCACCCGAGACCCGACCCGACCAAAATAAGATTTCATCCGACCCGAACTCGACGCGATATATAACTTAAAAACCCGAACCGACCCGAAATACTAAAAAAATATTATTTTTATTCAATAAAAACAATGACTAAATTGAAAAAATAATATATAAAGGGATATTATTGTAATTATGCCTGAATATTTAAGGTAAAATTATGTTTTTTTTTTCGGGTTGAGTCGGGCATTTTTCACCCTAAACCCGAATCCGACCCAAACATCACAATTAAAAAACCGATCCGACCCGAATCCGATTTTTTTAGAAAAAAAACTCGACCCGATCGGGTCGAGTTGGGTTGGGACTCATCGGGTTCGAGTTCCATGCCAATCCCTAGCTCAAATATCCTTGCTGATCAACTTTATATTTATATTCCACGTTTGATACTATAAATTACAAGCTATTATTTGTATACCTTTAAACCTCAACTCCTAGAACCTCTTTAAGTATGCTGGATTTGATGTTGAAAGTAAGTATTGCATTTGCATCTTTTGGTTTCTTTACGAAGTTTCTTAGTATTATTATTTTTTAATCACTGACCATGGTATCTTTCATCATGCTTTCCTCAGTCTTAAGAATTTGGTGGAGGTTTAGCCATCCTGAAAGTAATTGAAAAAGAAAAGCTCCAGGAGTGCAAAGATATTCTTTAAAGCTATGAAAGTTTAATTTTTTAGCTTTGGACTTAATATTCTGTAAAGATATCATGTACGATGAATGATGATAAATTGTTTTCTTTAATAAATTACTTACCTTCATATTCTCTAGCTCTGAAAAATGTTACTTGAGAGACCCAAGGTTTAAACTCATCAGTAAAATAATATTATATTAGCATTAATAGAAGTTTAAGGATTAAGATACTGATGATTAATAATATATGGGTTGAACGAAGAGCAACTCAATCAAACCTGCCTATGCCAATCTTTTGCAAATAGCGGTGTTTGTGATAAAAATGAAACTACAAATTATAATTTATAGCGGCGTTTATTATAAAAACGCCACTAAAGATGAGAATTTGTAACACCCAGACCCGATCTGTAAGTTAGACCCAAACCTAAGTGGTCACATATCCCATTCAGAGATTTTTTTATTTAAAACAACTTATAATACATTAGATATAATATAGAACAAAATATTAATAATACATATATATCCAAAACGATAGCAAATACATGTCACCAAACATAACCGAAAAACATATAGAGATATACGTTCGTACAAAATAAGTAGTTGATCTCCCCTGATGCCAAATCTGCTAGCTTATGATCTACTGTTATCTGAAAAAGGGTAAAAACTACAGAATGAGCTAAAAAGCCCAGTGTGCTCCATACAGAATAAAAAACATACAGATAAAATCTTTCAATAAAATCGGTTTATGCAATATGTTTTTATTTTTAAACATGAACACTACCCCCATCTGTTCACATCATAAATATGTAGGTTCCCCAGAACCATACACCCAACCGCACATGCCATTTAGACCCTGAGCACAAAGTCGAGGTGTCTGCAGATAATCTTCCTTCAACAATACCCACCAATGACAATATTAAACATGAATGTATTCAAGTGAAAACAATGATTAATCACTTAAAACATAAAAATGTTTCATGCTTGGAAACCATATGCAGAAATACGGAAATCAAAATTCAAAATAGTAATATGTGGTAATTCAGATGTCAGATAATCAGATATCAGAAATCGGTATGAAATACCTTAATCCAAAAATTATATCGAATATATAGTAAATCAGATATCAAATACTTGGTATTCAGATGAATCATTTTAAAACAGTAATGTAATACTGTCAGGAAACACACCTGTAACAGTATGAGAAATCAGATAGAGAAGCCTACTACTAGGTCTGTCGATCACGCTCTACTGCAGCGCTAGATCCTACGAATAAGAAAAAACTATATTGGAATCCTAATATAAATAATCTAAATATTATTTAAATAATATACGGAAACCTACGGGTAATTCTCGTAGTACGTAGTTCAGGTTGATCTAACGAACGGACAACTCCGGACCTAACCGATCCTTGCTCAGATGAAACACAAGTACATTCATAAAATATTTTTACTAAATCAATTCTTTACCCAAATCTCAAATAAATAATCAAAATACTAAAATACTAAGACTTTTGGGTTCACATGCTTGATTCGGGAATTTCAGGTTTGAATTTAGCAAAACAGACTTTGGAATTAGATTCAGGACATTGAAAAACATAAAATATGACCTTCTGGAAATTTGAATTCTTGGTCAAAATCAAAGTCAACGGGTTTGACTGATGATTTGGAGACTTTCGGGTTCGAATTTGGAGAAACGGACCCCAAAAACAGATTCAGAACGTCAAAAAATGTCAGGGTAAGTATACTCGATAAAGATTAACGGTCGTTTAATGGCCGGTCAAAGTTCTGGTCAAAGGTGATCAAGATATGATCAACCATTTTACACATTTATCACCCTTTTAAAAAAATTTACAAAAATATCACCCTTTTCAAAATAATTACTAAAATATCATTTTTTTAAATTTATGAAATTATCTCTTTTTAAAAAAAATTACGAAAATATCACCATTTTCAAAAATAATTACCAAAATATCACCATTTTCAAAATAATTACTAAAATATCACCCGATAAACGGTCAACAGTCAACGGGTCGGGTTCAAAACCGGTCAAACTGGTCATTTTAACCTTCCCCACGCGCAATGGCGGCGTGTGGGGGCGCGTGGGACATGTTCTGAAGTCGGTAAATTCACGGAAAAAATCCTAAAAAATATTTTAAGATTTCGAGGCACTTACAAAGCTCGGTTCACAATTTTGAACGGTGGAGTGCTCGATTTCAACAAATAGAAAACTTTGACCACTTCACCTCCTCACGCGCCGCCGTCTACGAAGACCAAGGATGACACCGACGAACTCGGAACAACACAAGGAACACGATGGTGCGGGAGGTGTCAAAAACCGAGCGACGATCGGTGATGAATTTAAGATTTTCTCGGCAGTGATGCTAAAAAAAGTCGAGACTTTAACTTGAAATTCACGACGTTTGGCAGCGTTTCACTTCAATTAACTTAAGGGGTTTGTTCCTCACTCGATGATGAACACGATGGTGTTTTCAAAACAACGATCGGAGGTCGGATAATGTCGAGATCGTATTTGGAAGTTGGGGCTTTGAGGGAGGAAATTTGGTGAAATTCATTCTGATTTCAGAATGAATTTCACGCTTGTAATGCATGTATGCTGACACTCCAGGGGTAAATTCAGGGCTTAGTCCTTGAATTTCCTTAAACTCTACAACAACCTACAAGTTTTGAAAACTTTCAATTTAGTCTCCAATTTTATCCAATTACACAATTAAATCCTCAAATTTCAATTAAATATTTATTTTTTTCCAATTTTCAGGTTGTTACAGAATTATCAGCGTTTATGGCAAAAAAACCTCTAAAGACAAGAGAATTAGCGGCGTTTTTGACAAAAAATGCCACTAAAGATAAGAGAATTAGCGACGTTTATAGACAAAAATACCACTATAAATCACAACATATAACGGTGTTTGAAAGAACAAATACCGCTAACTTTTGTGGCACTTCTTGCGACGCTCTTACTAGCGACATTACTATTTTTAGCGGCGCTTAAAAAAGCCACTAAAAACCTATTTTGCTGTACTGAACGCATGGCCTAGGGGTTTATAGGACCACCGTTTGTTTCCCGTGGAGTTCAGGCTCTTTCCTTAAGTTTTTTCTCTTTCTCCCTTGCTCAGTTTCTTCATCGTTGATATTCTCATTTGTAGGGTGGAGAAGGCCAGCTGCTTTTAGTGACTTTTGATTTTGATTTTGCTTTTGTTATTTGTATTTTTAGGAACCAGTTTGTTCTATTGCATTGTTTCTTTTCATTTCCCTAGCACGAAGGCTTAAGTGTTTCAGACTTTAATTTTTTTTCGTTTCCCAATGAGGTAATAAAGCTGGCATTCATTGTTTGAAACCAAAAAAATATTTATATGAAATTTTATAAAAATATCAATATATTATGTTAATAATAAATGTTAATTAATTAATTAATAATTTATTTAAACAAACATTATTTTAATTAAAATATAAACTTAAAAAATTTTAAAAAAACCGTAAGTCTGTATAAGCATAATCACAAGTCTCAAACCTGTGAACCCTACACCTTAGTAAAAGTAAAACCCTAGTCGACACCAAGTTCTGTTCTATGTTCTTTGCTTCCGAAACATCGAAGATAATGTCTTCCCTTCAGAAGCTTCTTAGTGTTGGTGATGATCCAGGTAAGGTTAACGGCAGAGGCTTCGAACATCTCTCCGATGACTTCTTCGTCGAAATACTAAGACGGCCCTGCTGACCAACTACGATTGTCTTAAATTATAGCCGAAACCCCTATTTCACTCAAAATTCATAAATTATAGCGAAAACCCCTATTTCGCACAAAAGTCATAAATTATAGCAAAATAGATTATAGTGTACTAGCTTAACG